TAATAATTGTTGACAATTGAAATATTGTGATAGTTTTAATAAATTCACTAGTTTATTGCATATATTGTAATAATTTCGTATGGTATGAGTGTTTATATGATTTTGACGTACAAAAGAGCATGCCGTACCCAACGTCGGCAGTCGACGGTATTATGAAAAATTACAATAAAAATTATAAAATAGTGAGTGAAAATAATGTGGTTTTTATTTTATTATACCTGTTTAATCCTCTCTTGTAAGTGTAATTGCCGAGAAAAAGGTCTCGGGTTCAATTCCCGGGTCGGGTAGAATATTTTCAATCTTGTTTATATTCAACTGCTTCGTTAGCCGAGTGGTCGCAAGTGCGACTGCCGGGCAAGGGGTCTTGGGTTCGATTCCCAGGTCGGGCAAAGTATTACTGGGTTTTTTTTAACCCGGCGGGAGTGTGGTGGGGTGTAGCATACCCCAGCACTAGTTGACCTAGGTATATTTTTTTAACTGGTAATAACTATATTTCGTGGCTTCGTGTAGCTGGAGGTAAGGGGTTGCGGAAGGGGATAGTAGCGTGAACTGAGTGTTATACCGGCTGGTGATTGCATTTCACGTGCGTAAACGTCCGTGGGGTAAGTCACACCCCACCTCATAGTTCGTGTATTGTTTTTATATTTATGTATATTTTTATTTTTTATAGTTTTTGAATAAAATTGGCACTGGAGGCAGATGAAAGACGTGTAAGAAGCATTGTTGATGAAGTTTTAGCCGAATTTTCAGATGAATCAGGTTCTACCGAAGAAATTGATCATTGCAGTGAGCATAAGCTTGAATCGGACACGCAAGTAGTGTGTTATGACTTTGAAGCGATCAGCAGCGAGTGGGATTCGGATGACAATATTCTCCTTACTGCAAACAGGACTTGTCTGTCTCCACTGGGACTGATCCAGAAATTATTACTTTCTACAACTCTACAAAAGCAGGAGTAGACGTCGTGGACGAGCTACTTATAAAGTGTCTCGCAACAGTAAGCTTTGGCCAAAGACAATATTTTATGGAATTTTGCACATGGCTGCTATAAATGATATAATATTTATCAGAATAATCTGGATAAATAACAAAATTCCTCCATAGTTTGGGATTGAGTTTGTTGAACAGAACATCTGCAGTTGCGACAATCACAGAAAAATATTTCATCTGACATTTTCCAAAGAATTTCTGCACAGAAGGGAGAACCATTGCGTCCAGCAGTGGAAAACAGTTCAGGACGATATACTTGATGTGCGGATTGTCCTCGGAAAAAAGATCGGAAGGCAAAACATGTCTGTGCAAGCTACAAAAAATCACTCAATCAATCAAACATGCAATATTTTCTTGCAAAAATTGTGCTGACGGCGAGGCCTCTTATTTAAGATATTCCATTTGATTCTATTAGTGCTTTTTAATTTTAAATGAAAGTAGATCTCATTTTTTGTTAATTTAGAAGTTTTTATTTTGTTTTAATTATTGTGGTTGCTTTTATGAATATTTTAATAGAGCGAGTAAATTTGTGTCACCAAAAAGTTCTTAAATTGTTCAACTACTAAAAAAGTAATAAAAGTATTAAAAATATGTATTTATTTGTTTAATTTTTTATTACAGGGATTCTCATTCATAATACTTAGTAATAATTTTGTTCTATTTTGGAGAAATACTTAGATAGAAGACGTTTTGTTCCGCGGGGTATGTTACACCCCACCACATACTCTATGTAATTTTTCCGCACCACACTCCCGCCGGGTTAAAAAACTCTCAGTAATAGCACGGAGTCTGGAACTGTGCCCGGTATATGGCAATAGGCTCACCCCCTATTACATGGGACTTATAACATAAATAGTGAAAAGTGGGTGTTACATTGTACAGTGGTATAATGTGCACCTCTGCCTACCCTTTCGAGGATAAATAGCGTGAATTTATGTTATGTGTTCTTTAAAATTAAAATAAATAAAACACACTCGTATCCAATCATAATTTTATTACTTAAATCTAAAAATAAATTAGTGATAGAAAACTGAAGATATGTAAAGTAATTTAAAATAATACATAATTTACTTTGGCTTTAAGCTAATTTGTGGCACACATATTTTATGGACTCTATTAGAGCAACTTAGACTTAAAATTAAGCAAGACAAGATACACAATTCAAAAAATACACAAGTGTATTAAACCTTTTTATATTCCACTTGCAAACCCGGCGAACTCCGTTTCGCCACCAGATGGCTTCGTATTATGTAACATTTCGTTTAGTGATTAGTCAATTTTCTTAGCTATAAACCTCACGGAGCCTGAGACCTTTCCAACGAATGCAAAACCGTGGAAATCGCTTGTTAGTTCTGGAGTTATAGCGTCAGGCAACCCAACTCATTTTTATTAGATTACAAATCCTTACTATCCTTACTAATATTATAAACTGGAAAGTGAGTTTGTTTGTTTGTTTGTTTCGCTTTCACGCCGTAACTACTAAACCAATTGCTTTGAATTTTTGCAGACGTAAAATTAGAAGTCCGCATTAAATAATAGGGTAGTTTTTATTACGGAAAAATGTGATATTCCCGAGGGAAAACAAAAGTATTGGTATAGATGGCGCTGTGTATATTGGTATATGTCACATAGGCTACTTTTTATCCTTTTGTGACGCGAGTGAAGCCGCGGGTAAAAGCTAGTAGAATATAACTCCAAACAAGGATGTTGAAAAACAGGACCTCATCGTTCGCTTGATAAAATTGACGTGTAAAAGTGCTGCCTTGTAGCCTATTTGCAGAAATATATTCACTTGTTTCACTTGTGTCACTTGTTTCACAGGCGGACATAAACGCCGGAATACAGAAACGTTACTTAATTTTAAGTCGGGCTTAAATATCGTGCCATCTCTGTCTTTTACAAAGAATTAGTGGTGACAGAACTATACTTAAGCGCGACTTAAAATTGAGTAACGTTTCAGTATTCCGACAATAGTCACTTAGAAATGATTGGAGCATCAAAATTTCAGTTGTTTATTTATATGTGCGTGTGTAATAGGTTACCACGTTACCAGACTAAAGAAAATGACAGATGTCCTTCGTGTCAATGTGTGTGTATTCTGCGTGTAAATCTATAGTAGCCAGGTGCCACAGCCGTTGTTTCAAGAGACTATGGCCACCGTTTTCAACGTCATTGATTTCAAAAATGATAATAAAGACTACACTACAATACTTTTTTTTATTCACAGATCGAAACTAGAAAACTAGAATACTCATCAGGCACTCATACCAACAACAAGGCAACCTCACACTTAAAAATAGTGTCTAATTATTACATATATAAACACTTTCACAAAATATAGACATCGATAGACACAAACTAACGTTAACTATCATTAATAAAGATAACATTATTTAACATATTATTATTTAACCGACTAAATATCATCGGACACCTAACGAGCACAGCCCCATCATGGCTCCGGCATGGCGGCGTTTCTTGCTTTAAAAACACTATAAAAAAAGTTGTAAGCGCAGTGTCGGCGCGCAGGCGGAGCGCGGGCGGCGCGCTGACGGCACGCTTACACCTTTTTTTATATTGACGTTATAAAATATGTCATTTTTTTTCTTTCTTTTTGGCAACGGAGTCTCCAATACAGTATTGTCGACTATACTGCCAGTGTCGAGTGGTGACTACAGATTATTGGGCCGTCGAACTTCACTTTGTGGTGGTTTTAGTTGTTAGTAACTGACTAAAACTAATACACACACAATTGAACAGCACAATAAATAAAAGATTTCAATTTAGATCACTGTGAATAAGATCACTAAAATTGATATCGTATGACCGATCGAAATATGTCACACGACATACGATTCAAAGTTCATGCTTAAATGACAAGTTACTTGCTAGATTGGAGCCATGCTTATTAGGTGTGCGATGCTCTACAACACAACATGATTATCAAACATAAGTAACGTTTGTTAATCTCAAACATTGGTTTAAACATTTAAATTTTATTGCCAAACATATTAAGAATTTCAACGTCGAAAAACCCAAGAACAAATAACAGATATACCAAACCATATTTCTTTAATTTAACTCCAAATAAATCAAATTAATTATCTTTTTACGTTGAGAATTAATAACAGCCTCTTAAATGAACTAAAAATTGCGAAACTAGTAGAGTTTTTCTCAATATAGGTAAACACGTGAGTAAGAATTTTAGTTAATTTAGTATGTCTCACGATAGTTATTATAAAAGCCTCTTATACTGTTATAAATACATAGATTTTAGCCTAGTTGGCTGTGTGGTCGCAAGTGATAAAGATAGACATGTGACATTGTTATTTTTGTTACCAATTTACTGCAATAAATACATATTTACAACCTTGTGTAAGGGTAATGGACCAGCAAAATATTCTGAGCGAAACTATTACATTCTTGATAATGATGCACGGTTGGCGCAGTAGTTCGGCAACTGAGTGCTGCGCAACGTGTCGCGGGTTCGATTCCCGCACGGAACAATTCTTTATGTGATTCACAAATTTTTGTCCCGGGTCTGGGTGTCGTGTGTATGTGAACTTGTTTGTTTGTAAACGTACCCACGACACAGGAGAAAAAACTAGCGTGGGGCAAGGTTTTTAGTAAAATAATTCTTAAAAAATCTAAATATTAAAGTTTTACAAAATTATAACAAAAATTGTGCCAAAATCTCCTAAATCATACTTAGACATCACATTTAGACTTAACATTTCTTATTCTTTAATATAATTATGTACTAAGTACTTATTTCATATGAAATACAAACATTCTGAGAAAACTTCTTGTTAAAGACACCTTATCATACCTTCTTCATACCCTGGCTTTGAGTAGTTTAAACCACGAATTTCTGTGGCAATACAAACCAAAACAATGGGTTGGATTCCAGTCAAACCAGATTGGCAGAATTTTTATATTCTAGCCATAACAACATCAATCCACCCGCTTTAAGCGTATTATTTCTGATCCTGTTTTATATGAGGGTAGTTTTAGTAAAGCGCAGTGCGCAGGCGCGCTCGACAGAATAGCAGAAATGCCAGTAACGCCGCCAGCGCCGCACCGGCTAGTAGTGTTGTTTCATCGCGTCGTGCACCGCCTGCTCGTTCTACTACTGTACTCTGAAATTGGAAAATATCACACAATATATTTTTCGTAATCCCCAAAAAGCTGATAACGCACTTTTAGTTTATAGGGACAAGCCCGCCACAACCCCCCAAAACCGCTGCAACTCCTGTAAGCCAGGATCTAAAGTAGATACAACCATGAAAACACCAGAACACTGAAGTCCGGCGCGTCCCAGGGACATGAGTAACTGTCTTGGTTCCCGCACGAAGTAAATTAGAAGATATTATAAAAGAAGAAGAAAAAAAACTATAGTTTCCACTTCCCTCGGTGAATTACTGCAGGAGACAGAATGAATTAAGCCTAAAGGCACAAAAAAGAGACTGTACAACTGGGTGAAGTCCAGTCGCCAAGCACCACAGAAATTTGACTAAAAACTAAGTGGGTCCTATGTGTGAGCACTTCGCCTATGGTGTTCCAGGTGTACATGGGTGACGCCGATTGCTTACCATCTAGTGATCCGTCTACTAGTTTACCACTTTATCCCATAAAAAGTATCTCCTGCATAAATGAAATGAGTTAAAGCATTTTATTTATTTTTTCTTTTTCAATTTTTATCAAGTTATATCAATTTCACTTTACCATATCTTATTATAGTCTGGCGAATAATTGCAAATCAACATAAAAAAATTATCAAGATAGACTGCATCTTCTTTTTCAAAAGTATTTAAAATCAAAATTAAAAGATTACAAATGACTATTTGAAAAAAATCTTCTATACCCATCCTCCATGTTTGATGGCCCACGGCGTGGCGCACTGTGCCACGTGCTTGGCGGCCCAGTCGACCGCTCGGCACCATCCTCCGACCCTCACAGCACGAGCACATACTTCACAGAGGAATGCTAGGACTACTAAAGCTCTTTGTTCTGTGTGAACGCAGGACTGGAAAGGGAGATAAAAATATGATAATAATAATATGCATACTGATCATATTTCGTAAAGAAATAACTCGAATTTATTTCTAAAAAAATTTCCCCGCACAAGATTTTCTCCTGTGTCGTGGGTGCGTTTACAAACATACACATGACAATCAGAACCGAAACAACAATTTGTGAATCACACAAAGAATTTCTCCGTGCAGGAATCGAACCCGCTACACGTTGCGCGGCAAGCGATTGCCCCGTCACCGAACCAACCGTGCAGTCAATATTAGTAATATTTTAATAAGACATTTGGATTCCTGTTGCGAAATAAATGATTTATTCCGTAGACAAGTGCATTGAACCACTGAATGGTTAGATCAGTGTAACGGATTTCCATACTTTTCAACATAATTTGTTGAATATCAGAATTTTCCATAAACTTACACAAAAGTCATCAACACAAATATCACTATCACTACATAGTAGAAAGCAAAGTCGTTATCCGCCGTCTGTCCGTCACTATGTATGCTTAGATGTTTACAACTATGCAAAGGATTTTGATGCAGTTTTTTTTAATAGAGAGAGTGATTCTTAAGAAAGCTTTATATGTATAATACATGCATATTGCACCCGTGCGAAGCCAGGGCGAGTCGCTAGTTTCGTTATAATATGAAGTGTAGTCTCATCAGCAATATATCTTTCATTATCCTCACCTGACACAGCTCCTGCATAATATCTTCAAACTCGACCTCGTCAAGGCACAGCAGGGATATATGTTCCGCCTCAGCTGCTAGCCTGGCTCGAGCCTTCGTCTCCCTGAACCTTCGAGCTGCTCGCTCCAAAGACCTCCAGTCGCGCCAGTACATCCACCATCCCCTGAAATGGTGATCATACCTAGTTTAAGTTTGGGTCTTAAATTATATCATACTAGCTTTTACCCGCGGCTTCGCTCGCGTCACAAAACGATAAAAAGTAGCATATGTGATGTATACCAATACACACAGCGCCATCTATACCAAATCTTTTGTTTTCCCTCGGGAATATCAATTTTTTCTGGGATAAAAAGTACCCTATTATTTAATCCGGACTTCGAACTTTACGTCTGTAAAAATTCAAAGCAATCGGTTTAGAAGTTACGGCGTGAAAGCGGAACAAACAAACAAACAAACAAACTCCCTTTCCTATTTATAATAGTAAGGAAAGGATTTATAAAAGGAAAGTATTTATTTAGTAGTACATTATTTTATGGGATGTCTCTAGACATATACTGCTGAACATAGGGCATTCCCAGTAACTTGTGAAAGTTTCTTACATAAAAATATTTTGTATATAGACCGAGACAATGTTTCCAAGGATTTGGGAAATCATTAGCTATCCGCAGCTTATCCGGAAACACTTCGTCTAACTTCTTTATTTAACAACAAAATGAATGATTTCGAGTTAATAGTTTAGAGGAATATCTTGGGAAAATTTTTCATTTCAATAAATAAATCATATGTGAGTCAACCTTGACATTTGGGGCGAAGGATATTCAGGTAAAAGGTAGGTAATTACCTCCAAAATCCCTGAAAACAATTTGTATCGACCCATGCGCCAAACACTCTGTATAAAGATGTACTTGTTGATAATATTGAAATGGAAAGAAAAAAACCGTTGCATAAACAGTATGAATCGAGAAGAGAAGAATATAAGAATAATATGTAAATTCCTTGGTGTCACACTACTGACGGTAAGCAGTCAAAACCGCCCTTTTTTTAAGGGGGGAAAATCATCGAATGACTGTTCCCGCCTGGGTGAGGCGAAAGGGAGTGTCAGACTCTTACTGACTAAAAACCACCCCGTTCCTTCTCCTGCACATCGAGCCGGAGCCCCGGTTACCCGTTAGGTTCTCCGCGACTCCAAATGTCAAAGCCGCCCTTGGACACACCTATTTATCTGCCTCCCTATCCCGTAAAAAGGTCTGCATTATAAGTTTATTAAAAAAATCCAAAAGCATGTACCTTTGATCAGGTTTAGCCGGTGCCACAAAGCAGGGTGGTGGCCTCAGATGCTCCAGCCTCAAATGCTGCAGCAGTAACGCCCTGAACAGCCTGACTCCTCTCTCTTCCTCGTCTCCTTGAAGCTCAGGTCCTCGCCAGTGACCCTGGCACTCGTCTCGTCGTTCCTCATCCAGGGAGACTTGGCGTAGTAGTGGAGCTCGTGGTGTGTCGTAATCTTCAAGGCCTTGGACACTGCATGCTGGAAAAATATTTTATTGTTAATTTTAAAACTGGAAAATAGCCTTTATTAGAGAAAAACACTTTAATATTCCTCTCAAGACGTTCTTAACGACGTTATCAGAAGTTTAATTTAGAGGTATAACTACAATGTTTTTGTATTCATTTAATAAAAGAGGAGAAAGAAAAGAATAATAATTATTATGCTTCACTCTAAGTACATATAAGTATAATAATAATTCACATAAACATAAACATAACATCACGCCTTTTATCCTCGAAGGAGTAGGCAGAGGTGCACATTATACCACTGTACAATGTAACACCCACTTTTCACTATTTTATGTTATGAGTCCCATGTAATTAGGGAGTGAGCCTATTGCCATATACCGGGCACATTTTCAGACTCGGTGCTACTACTGACATTTTTTTGGAAAAACCCAGTAATACTTTGCGGGTATCGAACCCGAGACCCCTTGCACTTGTGACCACTTGGCCAACGAGGCAGCTACCTAAGTACACCTTTAGTAAAACAGCAGATCGTACAGCATATCTATTAATTTAAGTGTCTGTAGTCAATTAATATAAATTAAAATAACCGCTTCTTACAAATTACATGCATATATAAATATACAAAAGATAACAATTTTTCAATTTTTGTCTGCCTGTTTGTACTGGCAAACCTCTGGAATGGCTGTACCGATTTTGACGGGACTTTTATTGACAGTTAGCTGATATACTAAAAAGTAACATAGGCTACTTCAATTTTAGAAAATTAAAACGATAATAAAATTATGTCCTAAACTTCATTTTCTACGCGGACGAAGTCGTGGGCAACATCTAGCCGAATATAAAACTGTCACCTTGACATGGTAAGCGTTTAAATAAATATATATATACAGTACAATACATAGGTACCAACACGCGTTAATTAAAGCACTTTGTAGTACAATCAAGATAATGGCTTTATGCCACCTTTCCACATACACGCACACTTTACTACCTGCTAGTGAGTAAAGCATACCGAGTAAATATTTAGTTTTATAAAGCTTTTCTTGTGTTTTCATAAAATTCAGTGATTTTCATAATAAAAGAAACGAAATGTCTAACGTCTAGTTTCTATAACCTATCTATATGTAGATTTGCTTACTATGGAGATAGAATTTTGACATGAGCTCCATACAAAATGTGTCAAAATTCTATCTCTAGTAAGCAAATCTACAGATAGATAGGTTATAGAAACTGGACGTCAATGATGAATTTCGATGCGGCGCGTAGACGCTATGCTAACCAACGGGCAATGGTAGCAGCATGACAGTCGCCGCGTGTCGCGAAATGCTGCTCATGAATATGAGCCTCTAGCATGGCTTGAAACTAGTCGAGTTCCTCGTCAAATAATTACGTGAGTAAGGCGAAAAAAATTATAATGAATTTAATATGTCTCACGATAGTTACAATAAGTAGTTAAATCCTAATTCGGAAATCGAAATTCATTCGTTTAGACATTCAGGCATCATCATTTTTTTTTCTTATTAGCACAAATTTGGAAATTATGCCAGATATACCTACCGCAATAGGCTCACCTCCTATTTCAGACGAATGTTAATAACATAGTGTGCGAAAAATTGGTGTTTATACCTTTAAAAAACCTGTAAAATTCACCAAGTAACAGCAACCGAGCCTTTTAACCGCTTGAATATTTAAGACAGAATAGAAAATATATTGTGTCTCGCGTGGATCCACGTTTAGACACACGGCGGGTTAATACATAAATTAATATGACAACAGGTCTGAGTGGGCTGTTCCACCATCCACCATTCCATATTAATCTAGAATCTTCTCCAAAACGTTTTATTATCTGCAATACTAATAATATATCATCATCGTCCTCAATCGACTAGTTGGAATCGACTGACTCCAATCAAAAAGTTGTAAATTCATTTGTTTCATTAAAAGCAATTTCATACTCTCGCAAAATTGAGCAAAATTGAATTTGAGCTCAGTTTTATATTGCCTTATCTAGTTTATACTGTGGTTTTGGCTGGTTGTAAAAATGGCGTGGCTTTTTGCAATGTTTGGGCAAAAATTATTAATTAACTAATTATTTATTATTATTTATTATTTATTTTGGAACGAGCGCCTAGCTTCACTGACACTGACTTATTTATTTAATATTTGTTGACCTTTCAAAAGTACCAAATTATGGTTTAATTGAAATAAATGGTTTTGAGTTTGAGTTTATTAAAAACCAAGTCTCGATATGGTAAGTAATCGAGACGTCGCAGATCAAAATTTCACCCGGATTATTTGCGATGCACTTCTACAGGTTCACTACGTAAGCATTTTCGTTTAAAATAACGACTATGATATATTATGAGTGCCCAAGACTGGGTGGTTCGAAACTAGTAGAACTTTTTTCAGTATATTCGCGTGAGTAACCCGCGGTTTTTAGTTAATTTAGTATGACGGACAGTAGTTATTATAAAAACTAAATCTCTTTTGTACGTTTCATCAGAAACAGCTGAGGGCCGGAGATGGTGGCAAGTTCCTACATTGTGTACAATCACATGATCATTAGACCTAGAATAGACTACACTATAAAAAACTCTTTCTCTACTCTCACGATGTGTGGAAATTAATTTGTATACCTATACCTATGGAGTTTCTTGCTCGTTCTTCTCAATAGGAATCTACACCTTGGAATGAACAGCTATCTAGAGCTAGATATATATATATAAAAAGCTTCACTTTTAATTTTTTTTTGTTGACGTTCAAAAGTGCCATTCTGGCCTAATTGAAATAAATGAATTTGACTTTGACTTTGACTTTGTCTATACCAAAATACTCATAAATATGTACATACTTTGCGGTTCTCTGGCGCCAAAACTATTTACATATATTACACAAAAGCTATCTAAACATAAATTGTAGAAAATTATGTGTTGTTAAATTTTGTAGTTTTCTCGTAAAATACACAGTTTTTCTGTGTATTGACTGTACTCGGTAACTAATTTTTATTATTACATTCACATAAATCTAATTATTTTATGCAACTCAGTAGGTAAACAATTATATCGCGTCAGTGGGATGGCCTGGTGATCTGTGATACAGATTTCACCTACAACAGACACCAGTCTCAGGTTGAGTTGTAAAACGTTTGCTGTATTTTATTATGTAAATGATGATAAGAGAAATAAATAAAGTTATTAAACTTAATGTTTTTGGCTACCATTTTTCCAAGATGGCGGCGCGAACGGCGCACGTACAAAGATGCAAAATGGAAATCGAAAAGAGCACATCAAAATCTACAAAATTCACAATTTTCAAAACTCCCGGAAAACATTCCAGCTAGCTCTAGCAAATTACTAAACTATAATAAGGTATCCTTCAAATAAATAGAATTAGTGAAATCAGGCCACAAATAGAAATTGTATTTTTTTTTCTCTATAGAATATAAGTCAACAAAAATATATTTTGCGCACCTTTTGTATACAAAATGCTAATGACATTCATAACAGTTCCCTACGACTACATCTCAAGTGGGGCACTCGTTATGGACAGACAAACAATAGTCTCTGTGCTCAGACAGACACTCTTATAGTTCTAGGAACATCTAGTTTATCTAGGAATAAATAAAGACAAGAAATAGGTATACGAACGTGTGTTGGAGAATTTATTCGAGATAATATGGTCAGATTTTGTTATATGAGTAATGAGAGCCCTGAGACGTATGTGTGGAGTAAAATTAAAGTGATCGAAGAAAAAATTACGTTATCATGTTTTCGGCTTCCTCACGTAATAATTTGACGAGGAACTCGACTAGTTTCAAGCCATGCTAGAGGCTCATATTCATGAGCAGCATTTCGCGACAAGCGACGCGGCGACTGTCGCGCTGCTACTATGTCATGAACTAGTCGAGTTCCTCGTCAAATAATTACGGGAGAAAGCCGAAAACATAATAATTTATTTAGTATGTCTCACGAAAGTTATAATACAAAAATTATGTTGTTCGAGAAAGGTGTGGATTGAAAGGTGATGTAGTGACAAGGATTGAAAAAAGAATGCTACTATGGTTTGGACATGTAGAAAGGATAGATGGAAGTAAAGTAACGAAAGAAGTATTGCAGACATAGTATCGACCAGATTGGCGATATATTAAAGAGGGGTCGAATTAAAGTACCATTACCGATGAGAATGCATGAAAAACTAATGATTTTTGATGAAGCGAAAGAGTTTAATAAGAATCGTAGCAATTGGCGTTCCATAGTCTCTGTTATGTATGTCTAGAGGTAAAGGTTATGTATGTATGTATTTTTACAGGTCTTACATTAGCTTCGAAAAAATCTCACATGGCAAGGCCGAAACTCATAACAAATTCTAATACATAATATCTACATCGATCTAAAGATTCTGACAGGACTCAGTAGAAATAAATCCAAACATTTTGTATAAAATCAGATACTAATTTCAATTTCGTTCGTCAAATAAAGTTAAGAATAATATGGCGAAATAATTCATCGGAAAACTGACAATTAATAAAGTTCAACATTGACACAACTTCGTTTTTTCACGCTTTCAAGATTAATTTTTTGCAAATAAATAACATTGACATCTACAAGCTGTGCCGGCGAGCGTCGTGATCTCTCAGAATCAATAAATAAATAACTTTTACGAAATGTACCTAATGTAAGGCAAAATTAGATTTTCGTAGCCTATATCTTTGACATTTTCTTGGTGCTTTGGATATTCTGCAATTTAAAAAGTAGACTAATTCAATATAACATAACATCACACCTTTTATACCCGAAAATTGTGCACATTATGCCACTGTACCTAGGTACTATGTAACACCCACTGTTCACTACTTATGTTATGAGTCCCATGTAATAGAGAGTGAGCCTATTGCCATATACCGGGCACAATACCACACTGAGAATTTTTTTAAAACCCAATAATACTTTGCCCGACCCGGGAATCGAACCCGAGACCCCTTGCCCGGCAGTCGCACTTGCGAGCACTCGGCCAAGGCAGCGTTCTATTTTAGTATAGTCACTAATTCAATATCAAGTGTAATATGTACAAAGAATTTGTAAATTACTTACTTACAATTTAGAACGCTAAATTGTAAGTAAAATATAACTTCAATGATTTTGACAAAGCTTTTTACTTACCCCGTAGAAACGATGACTGTGAGCGATGCATTATGACTTTTATACTGCAAAGAGAAATGAAATAATTAAGAAAACTATGAATTTTAGACCAAAACAGTCATCGAACGTTAACTAAAATAGTCATACAACTGCAACGAAACTAGATGACTATGCAAAAATGCCAGCGAAACCTAAACAGATACAAAAAATTGGAATGTCTGTTTGTAATAATAAAATAACCACCTTTTTATATGCATATATATACCTCTATACCTACAATACACAATGTTACTAAAATAACATTTTTTTACAATTTTTGTCTGACTGTCTATTTGTATTGACTTATCTCTGGAATGGCTGGACCGATTTCGACTAGACTTTTATTGGCGGCTTGCATTAAGGAGTAGCATAGGCTTTATTTTGCAAAACTGAACCAAAAAAGTTATGTTCTATTTATCTACGCGGACGGAATGACTACAGCTAGTAAATAATACAAAAAGTTGAAGAGATTGTTTGTTTGTACGCGCTAATGGAATGGAAACGCCGGCGACAATATTTAAATGAATGCGCTTGCATTTGATTACCCCAGTTCTTGAGTAAGATCGTGAGCTATTCATCATCGCGATAAGACACTTTAAGAAAACCATGAGTTTAAACTAGTCGAAAACATAACATCACGTCCTTAAAATATTAAGAACACTGTAAAATTCATTTTATTTTCATTTTTATTTTTATTTTTCTTTTCGTTTTGTTTTTCTTTTGTATAATAATGTTTTGCTGACTGAAAGAGACTGGGCCCCACGACACAGGGTATCCTAGTGTGGGGTCCAGGGCCATATAAATATATAACGTGATTATTTTTGGTAATAAACATATTTTTATTTATTTTATTACCTGTAGGGATAGTCTGCATCATCTGCATTTATGTCAGTAAAAGTTAGAAGCCCTATAATACAAAATTTTAACGGAACGCTTACAAAAAACGAATACCTACAAGTGATGTTAAAAAACAAGCCTTATTATTAAAAAGTACGAAATTAAATCTTTCTTTTATCAATTGCTCAAGGCAGATTGATGAAGACGAAAACTAAAACGATTAAAATTGTTCTAACAAAAGTTGTTCGTATGCGTTGTCTTATGCGTTCCATTTACACCCTGTATAAGAGGCCAATCTGGCATACCAAAGACACTATATCGAAATTTTTTAAACATTATTGATGGCCCGACGTTTGACCACTATCTCGCCTGGGCCTTTAGCCAAACGCCACTTAAGCGCTTGTCTACAAAGAGAGTAGAAATCAAAATGTATGGAGATGACACTATCAAGTGTCCAAATTTACGTCAATTCCATATAATTTGGTTTTCTATTCTACATGTAGACAAGCGCTAAATGACATTTGGCTAAAGGCCCAGGCGAGATGCGGTCTACGATACTCAAGATCTCAATACTACTAATGCGGATTATCAAAAACTGATGGCTAATGTTTTTAGTTATAAAGTAAAAGTTTTTTTTTTAAATAACAGGAAGCCTAAACAGTAGGTATACTTACTAAGTCAGCATATTTGTTAATCTTTGACAGTAATTAAATTTTATACTAATAGGATTAGCCTGCCCTGTTTTACGCGGAACTATACCCTGGAGTGGCGTTTACTCGAGTTAACTGAACAGTAGGTACTATTAAGCATTTGTTTAACTTGGATAGTATTTGGATTATATTATAGACCCTGTTTAATTTGCTGCTCCATTTGTTGATGATAGTTTTAACGTATATAAATACTTTTTCACAGTATCCTTATATTGATTTATTTATTTATTAACGCTTCATGCACAAAGTGTACCCACACAAGGTGGACTTAATGCCGCAGGCATTTTCTCCCAGTCTGACCTTTGGGTGATGCAGAGAAGAGTGAATGGTAGGAGCAAGAAGCAAGCAACGATTTAATTGAGAAAATAGAAGATTATACTAACATATTTTAAATATGAACATAAATAAATATAATAATAATATATATACCTACACACGAGTACAATACAATATACATACATACATACGAACATACATACATAGACTCATAGCATATAAATATGAACATAATTACTAATACTCTGTAAATAATTAGCGTAATGATTCAGCCAACCTCTTCAAGAGAAGCTCACGTACTTTCTGCCTAAATGTTAGACTTATACGCTCTGTATGAAATATTTGTCAATTTCCCCGTTAATTAAACTAACAAAAACTTAATCAGGTTCTGAATATTTTTTTCCAACTCTGAATTAACTTTTCTTCTAAGCCTTATTTTTATAAACATAGCAAAAATATGTTTTATAGGTATAGATACCAAATAAAAATAGTTCTAATACACGGGCATATAAATAGCGTTCCTTCTAGAGCACATTCATTAAATATTAATGTCTCGAAGGCATAACAATAACTGTGTAGCAAGCTTTTATAAATATTCTTAAGCCGGACAATCTTATTTTCAATATCAGACGCTTAACAAAACGAAAGGACATAATAAGAAAAACAACAAAAACCTCACTCCCCTAACCTCTTTAAACAATATCCGGGCGCGTAGCAACAGCTCTCGATTTCAAAAAAGGAACACAAATTCCGCGGCAATTTATCTACGCGGCCATCTTTTTTACCACTACCACAGATAACAACAAACATACCTGGCGTCACTTTGAGAGTCTGGTAATCCATTTTGATTATTTCCAAATCGTCCAGAATCCACCAGCGTGTCTTTCCAGGAATGTCTTCGTACTGACAGTGAGTTAAACAGTAGCGACCTTGCAGTACGGGTCATGACCCTGACACACATTTGTACGCATGCGCGAAGACTGGGGTTGGTCGTAAGGGACGAATTTCCAGGTATTTTACTCGAATACTATAGTACTACTATGATTTCCAGTATCAAGTCAATGGTTTGTAATATAAATCATGTTTTGTAAACAATTTTATTGAGTGACAAGAAAACTTGTCACTTTACTTTCGTACCAAAATGATGCAAAATTAAGATGGCGCTGCTTATTCAAACTCTTCTGAAAGTTCTAATTACTTAAACTTTGTTTTCTCATTCCCAACGCTTTGTTTTTAACACTAGCCTTCTGCTTTCCCATATTAATTATTTCTACATTTAATGTCGCTTTTAATTGTGGTTGATTCTTTCCACGATCAACACTTATTACATCAGGGAAAAAGAGGCCGAATGTTCCATTAGTAGCTGTGGTTGACACTGCTAATGGACAGTAGACAGACTATCGATTGTCTATAAAAATGAATTATAAAACTGCCTTTCACTGGCGATGAATAACAATTAAGTTTAGTATGTAGCAATATGCATTTATTTATTTTCGAGGAGGAAACTTTTTTTTTTTTTTGATGCCTTTTGCTTAAGGTATTTTTATTCTTTTTTTAAAGTGTAAATATTTTAGTTTTTTTATATTTGTATTTCAAGTTGTACCTATATATTTATTCATACTTAAGTTATTTAAGATTATTTTTTGTTGTAATAAATTATATTCATTTTTAAATAATTAAAATAGATTACCAGACAAGAAAATTCTAGACTCAACAGTATAGTTAAATAATCGAAATGAAATTAATAATGAAATTAAATTATTAATAATTTAATTCACTTAATTATTGCAATGAAGTCTTCTTAATTTTCTTGATTTTCAAATAATAACTAATATCGAAATGAAAACATTTTCTTTCTATTTTAATTGAATCTGAATACGATTGAAAACAAAATTGAAACAGGATAAATAAGAAATGGATGATTGACAAAACCAATATTAACATAGAGTATCGAGCGGAGTCGAATGTCGAATATATTTTTAATAAAAAACTCCAATACTGAAACGCCAATGTAGGTATGTCAATAGTCGCGGAGAACCTAACGGGTAACCGCGGCCCCGGCTCGACGTGCAGGAGAAGGAACGGGGTGGTTTATAATCAGTAAGAGTCTGACACTCCCTCCCGCCTCACCCAGGCGGGAGCAGTCATTCGATGATTTCCCCCATTAAAAAAATGTATGTCAATAGGCTTCCCTCTTAAAGACGAGAGAGTATCTAAATAATTTTTATTTTTAATGTCCGTCTGGTAGATTATTTTAAATCATTAGACACGTATTTTTTATTTTCTTACAGAAACTAATACTTTCGACGATATATTGATTTGAAATGTCGCGTGACGTCACTTCTATGCACATTTTAAAAGTAGAAATGACGTTTTAGCCCCCACTCCTAAACTTTGATTCGTTTTATCTAATAATACGTGTGTAATGTTTTTTAATTACCTTTTGACTGCACGGTTGGTGCGATAGCTGGGCAACCAACTGCTGCGCAACGTGTCACGGGTTCGATTCCCGCACGGAACAACTCTTTGTGTGATCCACAGATAGTTGTTCCGGGTCTGGGTGTCATGCGTATGCGGACTTGTATGTTTGTAAACGCACCCACGACACAGGAGAAAATCCTAGTGCGGAGCAACGTTTTTTTAAAGAAAAAAAAATTACCTAACTTACGGACTAAGTAGATTTTTAATTTTCATACCCTGTCATCATCCCTATTCCTAATGCTCACTGGTTCAGATATTCACTAGCCTGAATTAAGGTATAGAGCAAATATCGTGTTTAGCCTTTGAAGATTCTATGTTCGGTCGATTGGAAAGTATTAAAACAATTTTTACATTTCGCTAACTTTCACAAATCTTATTTCTTTACTAATATATCCTTACTCCTTACTTAATATTATAAATCGGAAACTGAGTTAGTTAGTTTGTTTGTTTGTTCCGCTTTCACACAGTAACTACTAAACCGATTGCTTTGAATTTTTGCAGACGTAAAGTTAGAAGTCCGGATTAAATAATAGAGTAATTTTTATCCCGGAAAAATTTTATATTCCCGAGCGAAAACAAAAGTATTGGTATAGATGGCGCTGTGTGTATTAGTATATGTCACATAGGCTACTTTTCATTCTTTTGTGACGTGAGCGAAGCCGCGGGTAAAAGCTAGTAGGTATTATAAATGTGACAGTTTGTATGTTTGTGTATTTGTATGTTTGGGTGTATGTTACTCAATCACGGCAATACGGCTGAAGGGATCAGGATGAGTTTGGAACAAGGAATAGTTATGGTCTAAAATAACAGACAGTGACGATACAATTATAATTACTATTATGCCCGGTATATGGCAATAGGCTCACGCCCTTTTATATAGAACTCATCATAAATAGTAAAAAGTTGGTGTTATATTGCACAGTTGCATTAAGTGCCGCTATGTGCACCTCTACCTACCCATTCGGGGATAAAAGGCGTGATGTTATGTAATGGAATAACACATAGGGTACTTTTTTATTCCACGGGAACGCGGAATTATCTTATCGGATTAATCTCTGAAGGGTGTTAACCTCCGGGAAGGATGACGGTAACTAATGATCTACCCTGTCGTCATCACATGACTGCTGGAGATAGATCTCTCTAATAGCAGAACCCTGATTTTGATGCTTAGCTCTTCTTGTCCAATCACTCATCATCATCATATCAGTCACAAGACACAGCTGAACATAGGCCTCCCTCAATGACTTAAGATTAACCACAGCCTGAACATAAATAAAGTCAATTAAAAATTGGAACAGTTATTTTTTTTTAATAAACCTGTAATGCTGACTGCACGGTTGGCGCAGTGGCTGGGCAACTGGCTGCTACAACGTGCGGTTCCCTCACTCTTTGTGTGATCCACAAATTGTTGCTTCGGGTCTGCTGTCATGTGTATGTGAACTTGTATGTTTGTAAACGCACCCACGACACAGGTGAAAATCCTAGTATGGGGCAACGTTTATAAAAAACTAGCTACTTCCGCGCGGTTTCACTCGCTCTGCTCGGCACCTATTAATAGTAGCGTGATATTTTAGCATATATAGCCTTCCTCGATAAATGGGCTATCCAAAACAAAAAGATTTTTTCAAATCGGACCAGTAGTTTCGGAGATTAGCGCGTTCAAACAAACAAACAAAAACAAACTCTTCAGGTTTATAATAATAAGTATAGATAAATAAAAAATAATAAAACTAGCTCTACAGTTTGGTTCAACTAAAGTCAACTTGCGTGTTAAAACTAATTTAAAGGAACAAGTTAGTATGAAAGTTTTACTAAACAAAATAGAATTGTGACATTTATTTGTACTTGAATTACGGTTATGTTGTTTCTCCAGTTGTACCTATAATAAAACAATCAGCTTTTGTTTGTTATGGATAATTTTCTTTACTTTCCTTTTTACAGACTTCTGTGGAATGTTTTATTTGCTATCAAATTACAGCACAATTTCGTTATTGGGCAAAATTGTAAAATAAAGCGAATCTAAGGACAGCTTACACAATTGTTGGATTTGAATTGATGGAGTTTCTTAGTACTAAATAACACATGAGAACAAACCTGTAAATCCAGTATTTTATATACTAATTCTGACTATACATTATATGCCTATATTTGTTCTTATAATTATAACTTTGACGTCAAATAAGAAAGCATATTTTAAAATTTTTCACCGTGCGTTTTCATTTGGAGCAGGTGGAATATTCTTCTTCTAATAGTTTAAGAGTGAGACACAAAGCTTACACACTTCGAAAACAGCTACGCATGTGTATTTACGAACATAAGTCTCGGTGTCGTTTGAAACTAGTAGAGCTTTTCTCGAATAGTTTACGCAAGTCAACCATATATTCCACCTAACCTGGAATAATTTTAGCAATAGGCCCTCCCTTTACATAACGAACAAAAAATATGTATAAGTAGATATAATATTACAACACCATTACAACAGAAATTTCAAATCCCAGAGCATAAACAGACTAATTTAAAAGCGACAAACAGCGTCTGCTATCGAAGTCTGATTGAGTTGGTTCATTGCTTTAATAGTTAGGGACTCAATTGGTTATCGGCGCTCGTTGTGCAACTACTTGTATCGTACCGGAAGATCCACATTGGTCAGGATTACGCTCCTATCACTCAACCAGACTACACGTGTACACTCACCAAATTTAAAATTAACCAACGACAAATACGACTGAATTAAAATAGTGTAAATTATTCTTTATTTAAGTGTCTTTAGAATATTTCTGTTCAGTGCAAAAACATGTGTATTCATACAAAATGAGAAATTCTCCTAAGAGAAAGGTATCGACGGACATACAACCGTTCTGCTGCCAAAAACTCTCTGTGATCGCTTGCTCGTTTGCAGTGGTTTCCTTACTACTTCAAACATACAATTTCTTTGACAATGGTGAAGTGAACTTTGATACAGAAGCTAAGAAGTTAATGAAGAATGTTCTAGAAGAAAGCATTGAACAGAAAGTTGAGGCGTATTTTGTGAAGATCAGTGGTAGCACGTCGCATAGGCTAAAACGAGAAGCTATGTTGGTATGTAGTATAACTTCAACAAATATAGAATGAATTTCTTAGACTTTATTAGCACTGTAGTTGCCTAAGAAATGTTATAAAATGCATTGAAATTGTTTGTTTCGTTTAACATAGGTACTTATAATTTATAAGGTTTGCTTTTGCGGTAGTTAATGTTTCTTGTTATATTTTATTTATATTAAAATTTGATTTCCAATAACAATTGTGGAGATAGATAGACCTATAAATAGTTTAAATTGCGGCTCGAGTATTGCCGACTCCCTTCGCATTACACTGGGTAATTTAATTTATTGTCATAGTAAATAATCAACTCTGTAACTACTGACTCGTAGACGTATTACACATACATACATATATTCGGTCCTAAGGTCCAAAGTTATTTGTGACAATATTTTGGTGTTGCTTCGCTATATTGTACTGTTTCTTAGCAATCAACAAATTTGCGGTCTGCCACTAAAGTTGACGGTGTAATTAAAAACTGTTCACAAAAACTATGAAATGAAACGTTCAATTAAACTTTAACGGTCGCTGGTACTACTACTAGCGAAACTTTAATTAAACATTTAGAAGTTACAACTTTTGAATAACAGATTACTGATTTGTATGTGGGTTTACTTTTGCATTGCTGTATAAAAAATAATATTTGGATCCCAGTATTTTACTCTGATTTACAAATTACATTTTGAACAGGACTCTTTTTCATTTGTTTACTTTTTACATTGTTGATACCACAGAAATATTATTTATTATAACTATGGTTGTTACACTAACTTAAGTCGATGTCGCGGAGAACCTAACGGGTTACCGAGGCTCCGGCTCGACGTGCAGGCGAACGAACGGGGTGGTTGTTAGTCAGTAAGAGTCTGATACTCCCTTCCGCCTCACCAGACGGGAGCAGTCATTCGATGATTATCCTCCTTCAAAAAAAAAACTTTAGTCGATATCATTCTTTCGATACCAGCTAAACTCTATATATTTAGAAAAATTATTTGGTCCTCCGATCTGAAAAATTATCTACTAAGCTCCAAAATTACCTATTCTTCAGAAACAATCAGTAAACCAAGAAGACAACACAGTAACTCCTCATGTGGAATTCTTCAACCCTAAAATGCGATCAGAACTTGAAGAGAAGGATGCAGCAGAAATGAGAAGGACTGGCGCCAAAGGACCAGCTCCTGGAGGAGACACTTGGGTCTGGTTGACCAGTTATTCCAGAGTTCCCGTAAGTATTTTAAATTATTTCGTTGTTTGTATTAAGCTTCCTTAATTCACCTTCAAAATACTCCCAATGTTTTGACGATAGTAAATTAGTACAAGTAAGTAGAAGTTAAGCTAAAAATGAGATAAAATGCAGTGCAACATGTCACGTTTTCGATTCAGACAGAGCAACTCTTTGTGTGATCCACAAATTGTTGTTTCTAGTCTGGGTGTCATGTGTATGCGAACTTGTATGTTTGTAAATATACCCACTACACAGAAGACAATCCTAATGAGGGGTAACAATTTTATTTAAAAAAATATTATGTTTATCTAAACCTATCGCGTGTCTATTAGAAATTTGACAGATGTAGATTCTTACTTAACCTGAATTGAGTCTGTTACTTATTTCTTTAATAGATATAATGAAAATGCAATCTCATTTCTTTATTAATCAAATTAGATTAATAATAATATCGTATCATATACCTTGACTATAATTTCCAGTATAAAGTAGTCCAAGGATTTTGCAAAGCTACTCAAGACTACTGCCCGCCTGGTGTACAAGGACCGAAAGGACCAACCGGTTTACCAGGACCAAAAGGAGATAGAGGAGATGCTGGAGCACCTGGAACACCTGGACATGCTGGAAGCAGAGGTCCAGTTGGACCACCTGGTCCAAAAGGTAAAATTATAAAAAACATTTTGACTCATCTCCAAATGAATGCCAAAAATAAAAACTACAGATGAAGCGAAGTTTAAATTTTTATGTTTGCGTAAAATAAAGACCAAATAGTGGAACGATTATACTACTTATACTTATTCTTTCGCGATTAATAATTACGATGAAAATAAAAATGGAATAATTTATTTGTAAAGTAGGTTTTTTAACTGTATTAAAATTCTTTACTAATATTATAATATACTTACATACGAAATGGTGACGATTTGTTAGGTATCAACAAAACTGATTTCTATATAATCTTTACCACTGATATACAACAATCCAATCTAGTCCAATATTTCTAATGAGAATGTATTCTAGGTGAACGTGGTTTCCCTGGTAACCCTGGCCTGGACGGTCGTGATGGCGTCCCTGGAGAGCCAGGTCTTGATGGCATGTCAGGTCGTAATGGTGCTGATGGGGCTCCAGGCAAGGATGGAAGGGATGGAGTTCCAGGAAGGGATGGTAGTCCAGGAAAGAATGGAAAGGATGGGAAAGATGGTACGTGCAGTTACATTTTTTGTTTGTGTTTGAATGTCCAACATCGGTGACAAATTGGTTTTTAAATGCTCAATATTTGATTATTCAATATTGGCGGCACAAATGAGTGGTGTTAACCTGAAAATAAACTTAAGGCACATCTACCTCGTTGAAGCAATAAATAAGCATTCATTAGTTAATAACTTTAGTAATATTTCGATCACTACCACAGGTCGAGCTGGTGCCCCTGGACCTCCAGGTATGAGAGGTCCTAAAGGAGACAAAGGTCCTATGGGAGCCAAGGGCCAGCGAGGTAATGATGGTCGTGACGGAGCACCAGGAAGACCAGGCCTCTCCATCTACAACTATACCTTGGAAAAAGAACTGTTTATCCCACCTACTTTTGCTCGTGAGTATTTAGACTAGATTTTATTTGTTTTAAATTGAACTAATTATTTTTATCTAACGCTATATCATGCTATTTGATGTAACTATGACTGCTATGTTTGAAGACTTGGTTTCAACTTACGTGTCAGTCAAAGTATTAGAAAGAAACAGAAAGGAAGAAATATATGTATGTATTATATTTGCTAAAAAGAGGTGACACGTACAGATTACACACATATAGGTCCCAAGTCTGCGGTGAATTGGGACCAGTTCAGCATGTGCAAGACAGGGCCTTGCGCTGGTATTCTACTGGTCCCTTACTAATGGTAATACTAATAATGGTACGTACTTCAATTTTAGAAAAACGAAATGTACACAGGGTATCGTTGTGTTCGGTGTACATCTCCAAACTAGGTCAGGTCTTCCTCCAAACTAGAACTACATTAAAACACATATCATGGAAAATTGTACTATGTTTCTGCCATCTATCAAGTTTTAATTATACCTACGTCATTGTAGCGAAAGGCTCCCCCAGGAATAATTAGTCATTTAGCGTGGTGTGGAAATTACCTAATAACTTTATGTGTTTCAAAGTATGAAGTATTAAGCTGGAACAGTGAGAGAGGATCTTCTTCTTATCTCAATGATTGCATGTAAAGTCTACCCGAACGTGCATTGATATCGTTTATACGATTCTGAATAGCCCTAATAGACAACATTTTGTACTGAAGTACTAACTAAACTAAGACTAGCTGTATAAGCAACTTCGTCTGCATCTTTCTAAAATATAAATAGCCTATGTTACTTTTAGTACATCAGCTATCTTACCATAAAATTCCCGTCAAAATTGGTTCATCTATTTCAGAGATTAGCCAGTACAAACAAACAGACGGACAAAAATAGTAAAAATGTTGTTTTGGTATAAAAGCGGTTATATTTAATACTACAAACAGACACTCTTATTTTATTTATGTTATGTTATAAAACCTTGTGGTATCAAACCCTTATGTTTTGTCAATTTGTCGTTGTAGAGGATCAAACCCGCGTGATAGTGCGAGAAGGTGACACAATGAGGATCAGTTGCAATCCCATGGGACGACCAGAACCTACCGTGGAGTGGAGGAGATACGATGGCACTGCTGTTATACAGGTATTACAAAATTTCACCCCATCTTTATTATATAGCCAGACATTTAACAACCTTTATGAGTTCACCGATCTTAATTTGTAACACTCCCTATCCATCAACTACCAACCACCTCGATGAAGAATGTTTTGCAATATGAAATTAATAGACTGTATTAATTAAATCTCACATAATAGCATTTAAATAAGATTAACAGTATAACTTAATGGCATAAGCTGTGGTGTTGTATATGTACATTTTCAAACTAAATCAAAAAACTAAATCAGAAGGCTTGTGTTCCATAGTCTTATTAAAGCACATTCCCAATGATCCTATTAACGTCGATATAATTTTTCGCTATATTATGCGTATATTGTTACATGTATGCAATGTTCAGATGGCCCACTTAGGCCTTGGCATAGTGCCTACACTGTTCTACGACAAAATGCGTTTATACAATACCTACATATTTAGCATGTTTGACATAGTGTAGGTCTTGAAATATCATACAATATTTTCAACCAACATCATGATTGACAGTCCAATGCTGGACTATATAGGTTTTCTCTGCAGAACTGGGTTCGCCATTATCCCCACAGTTTGTATTCCGGTTGGAGACCACAGTTAGTTAGACGTTTCAGAGCCAATTTTTCAATCAACAGTTAATTCTTAACTGTAGGATGAAATTGACATTTGACAGTCTTTGCTTTTTAGTATAGTAGAATTGTCTAATGATCAAAGTTATTCCTCTGATTTTTTATAGCATAAGCCGGTAAACGAGGAGACGGATCACCTGATGGTAAGCAACATGGCACCTGACACCTGGAACACCAGAGGCGTTACAAGTGCGTTATCGGTTTTTTGGGGATTAGGAGTTTGAGGATCGTTGGGGACTTAGGGATTGGGGAGATTGGGGAAGGGGAAGGTAATTGGGCCTCCGGTAACCTCACTCACACGACGAAACACAATGCAAGCGTTGCTTCACGTTTAATAAAATTCGGCCGGATTCGGATGAAAAACCGGACCTTACCCAAAGAGAGAATCTCTACAGAAAACATTACAGGCATATCTACTACGTCTTTCATCATATATACTTGCTAAATTATATATCATTCTAAAATGTCTCCAGGGATCATGGCGTGACGCGTCAGTGAGTGGTCACGTGCTGAACATCCCCAACGTGTCTCGCTGGCACACCGGCAAGTACGTGTGTCTGGCCAACAATGGCATGCAGCCCTCTGCCAACCAGACTACTGATGTCGAAGTACATTGTAAGTAATAATGCCCATGGAACATAAATATTAGTAGGCGACATTGCCGCGACCACGCACGCTGCTCATAAGCAAGAACCCCTCGGTGGTGTCGCGGAGAACCTAACGGGTAACCGGGGCTCTGGCTCGACGTGTAGGAGAAGGAAGGGGGTGGTTTTTAGTCAGTAAGAGTCTGACACTCCCTTCCGCCTCACCCAGGCGGGAGCAGTCATTCGATGATTTTCCCCCCTTAAAAAAAACCCTCTGTGGTTCGAAACTAGTAGAGACTCAATATATTCACGTGAGTAATCCGCGATTTTTAGTTAATAAATATTATACTTCAATAGAATAGTTTTTTTAAGGTTTATTACCTTTAAAAACTATACTTTCTTACCGATTAGGGACCCACTAGTTGTTCCAACTTAGTAGATGCAAGTCCTGTGACAAGCCCCCCATAAACGCCCTTGTCCAAGTTTACTTGTGTATTCTTAATAATATTGTAACACATTAACAATGCATTGAGTTTTATTACCTATTTTCAGTTAGTCCTTACATACGGGTGCCTAATAACGTGGTTTATGTAACAAACAAGACTGTGAAGATCGAGTGTGAGGTGAGTTTGTCAATCTCTAAATTAGTACTTACAGTTTGAACTAACAAGAATTTATAAGACTGATCCAATCCTGGTTTATATCTACAGTCAGATTAATAAAAAGAGATTCAGCAGTCCCGCATATCCATAAATCTAATACCATACAGATATAATATATACCGGCTCGAAGTGCAGGAGTAGGAACGGGGCGGGTTTTTAGTCAGTAAGAGTCTGACACTCCCTCCAGCCTCACCCAGGCGGGAGAAGTCAATCGATGATTTTCCCCCCTTCAAAAAAATATAGATATAATAGCTAATACAACGACTTTTACAGAAAATACAGGTCTTTGCAACTTTCAGATTCAAGCTTGGCCAGAGCCAGTTCTAGCGTGGGAGATAGACGGCATCACTCTCGAAGGTCTTCGGTACAAAACCGAAGTGGCACCAACAGGGGATCCCTGGCGATGGATCATGAGGCTAGAGATCCCAGGAGTAAGAGACAGTGACCTTCGACAGTACAGCTGTGTAGCCAAAAATGAACTTAATAATCAAACCGTTAAAGGACACATTAAGTTGATGAGTAAGTAGCTCTTATGACCTTTGTGCTATTGACTTAATAAAGTTTGTAATTAAGAAATCTCCCATAGGACCACTTTAGTAAATTCTGTTAGTTTAGCTGATCTTATGAGTTATTATGTTTTCGGCTTACTCACGTAATAATTTGACGAGGAACTCGACTAGTTTCAAGCCATGCTAGAGGCTCATATTCATGAGCAGCATTCCGCCGACCCGCGACGCGGCGACTGTCGCGCTGCTACTGGACTAACTAGTCAACTTCCTCGTCAAATTATTACGTGAGTAAGCTGAAAACATAGTAATATATTTAGTATGACTCACGAAAGTTACAATACAGATCTTATGAGTTTTCTATATTTCTAATCAAAACTTTTCCGATGTTTCGGAGTAGTTGTTGTTTCAGTAACTTTTGTAACAATAACATATCTTAGCTGGAGTCCATAATATTCAGTATTTTGGTCGATTCACAAATACAAATTCCGCCTGTGTATATATTTAGATCCACAAGAACGATGAACAAAATTAACAAGTTTTTGTGAAAATAATCGAATACTGACTTTACAAACTGTCGTAAGGTGTCGTAAAGTCAGTATTTTAACAATCTATAATTATGTTTTTCGCCTTATTCTAGTATTTATTTGACGAGGAACTCGACTAGTTTGCTATTCGTCGCGCTGTTGAGTTGCAACAGGGTCACGGAGAACTGCTGCTGAATATGAGCCTCTAGCATGGCTTGAAACTAGTAGATTTCCTCGTCAAATAATTACGTAGTAAACCGAAAAACATAATAATTAATCTCTTGTTAGTTCTAAGATATTGTGTGATAAAATATTTTGGATTCAGATCGAATATTGATATTTCCGGTAATTCATTCCGACCATAAGTGACCATGCCATCTTTTCACCCTGCAGATCCGGGGCCACATCACCAGCCAATTCCAGCACAACAACCCGTGGAATACGGCTCCCGGCCTCCAACACTGACCTCCTACGAGGAGTTGTGCGAGGTCCAGAGATGCCCCACGTGTCCACGGTGCGACCGCGCCCAGTTGCTCATCACACCTATGAATGGAACAGCTGGTCTAAAACCGAGGAGAAATACTAGTGAGTCTACTTCTATGTAGAATAAAAAAAAGAGAAGAAAATAAATATGTACATACTAATTTTGAGATAGAACACAAAACAATATGCATAGTCTAAACAAAATCACGTAATGTGCTGGAGTAAGTTTAAATATAAAGCCAGGTCCGCTTAGCAAACAATGGCAAACACCAAACAGCAAACACCTACATGTGGATGGGTATTTGTATGTGTTTGCCTGATCCTGATCGACACCGATCCCGAACAGTGCGAACACAAACCCAAATCAAAGGCTGTTCGACAAACAGTTTGCGATGTATCCACAAGTTTGCTACACATCGATGTTCAGGACTTTATTTGTTGTGTTTGGTATTTGTGGCAAACATCAATCGTGTGTATGAGGCATTATAAAACCTTCAAACTATATTAATGTAAAGTTTGTGTTTTCAGACTGTCAACTCTATGCTATTGGCAAACCAGTGTATCATCGTTATAAAGAAGAAATGTTCGGAGCCTGGCTAAGGGACTCCAACGGCTCTGAAGCGCAGGTAAACAAATGACACATATGTTAACATCACCCTTTAAACCCCTGAAGGAGTAGACAGAGGTGTACATTATCCCACTATAGAATTTAACACCCACTTTTCACTATTTATGTTATGAGCCCCATGTATAGGGGGTGAGCCTATTGCCATATACCAGGCATAATTCCAGACTCGGTGGTACTACTGAGAATTTATAAAATGCACATTAGTACTTTGCCCGACCCGGGAATCGAACCCGAGACCCCTTTGCCTGGCAGTCGCACTTGCGACCACTCGGCCAACGAGGCAGTTTTTACAAATGACACTACAAATAAAAATATTTTTAGAAATCTATCATGGTTTTCTTTAATGCGTTCTGATTTGCTAGAACCTTTTTTTTTATATTTGATGGGGCGACGTTTGACCACTATCTCACCTGATGGTAAGCGATGATGCGGTCTACGATGGAGCACGTCGTCCCATAAGCAACCTATTCACTCGGGCCTTGAAGACCCCTTCAGGAAATACAGACTCTGGCAAAGAATTCCACTCTACTAAAAGTAATGACACTTGGTACTGTTATCTTCCTCTTTTTGCATCAATATTTTATATTTCACTAGCGACCCGCCCCGGCTTCGCACGGGTGCAATACTTATGTAAAAATACCTACTACAAAATGTTCTTATACACCACGTTCACAGCTATTTTGTCATTAGACAATACAAACATGTTTTATATTGATATTTTCCTCGCTAGAGAGCTCCGATACACGCGTGCGATCGTTGCAAGTCATGAAGTGCTTTAGGACGAAGCGCGGCCATCAACGCCGCAACAAATACGTCCCTGCATTTTAAATTTGTAATATCTTCGGAAATATTCACTTAAATTACATGCTGTAAAAAGTATATTGATCTATGATAAATGCACAATTTATTTAAAGTACTTTATTGGATAAGGATTAATGCTGTATTCTACAGAGGATTCTCTGGCTCTCTGAACTCTACGTCTAACCCGATCCTGGCTGCGGCGAGCCTCACGCTCTATTGAGGATTCTCTTTCTCTCTCAGTTCTATTTCTATCTCGGAGCTGGCTGAGGCGAGCCTCGCGTTTCGTTGACGATTCTTCATCTCTTGCATCTCTTCTGGCATTCACTGTACTACGACCTATGTTCGCACGACGACGTCTTCCGGACATGACTTTATAATGTCTGTTCAAAATTTTATACTTAGGTACTTAGAGAGCTCCGATAAACGCGTGCGATCGCTGCAAATCATAAAGTGCTATAAGGCGAAGCGCAGCCATCGACGCGCTATTTGTACGCGCCGCCCGGCGCAAACAACTACGACCCTGCATTTTAAATTTGTAATATCTTCGGTAATATTCACTTAAATTACATGCTGTAAAAAGCGTATTGATCTATAATAAATGCACAATTTATTTAAGGTACTTAAATGGATAAGGATTAATGCTGTATTGTTTAAAATCACTTCGTAAATAACCATTTTTTAGTAAAGAATAAAAATGGTTATGCTGGGTTATCCCTAAGAGATAGACATATACCATCGCGGACTTTTTTGTTGAACTTTTTAAGGTGAACAATACTGTAGTTTGGTTGGTCTATCTCGTAGGGTTCAGCCAGCGTTTGCAATATAAGCGCAAAAAAACGTGCTTATTTACGACATCACATTAGAAACCATTAAATTTATCAGTGTTTCTCTACTATATTATGCATTTATTATACATACAAACCTTCCTTAAGAATCACTCTATCTATTAAAAAAAACCGCGTCAAAATCCGTTGCGTAGTTTTAAAGATTTAAGCATACATACGGACATACAGCGAAAGCGACTTTGTTTTATACTATGTATTGATTTCACTTTGTTACAGAGAGACAAGTTATGGACAACCCAGGAGACCGACGTGGAGCGGCTGCGAGAGTACAGGTCCAAGGCAAGCTTCAAAGCCGATCACGTCGACGAGTACCACAAGCTGCAGAAACCATTCTTTGTAAGCATTTTGTTAAATTAAAGGCGTATTCACTGATTTCATTACAATAAATCTTTATTATACCGGTACTCGTTACGATGTTTTACAGACATTGACATTAGAAAAAGGCGGGAGATAGAAAAAAGTTACAAGTAGCCAAGCGTGAGTTGGCGTCTAAAGGCGCGCAATTCAAATTACATTCTTTTTTTAATTTTAACACATTTCTTGTTCTGAATGTATTGTAAAAGAAAATTTTGGACGTAGAAGATTGAAATAAGTTCTCCAGCGAATTGAAAGCGGTCAGCGTACTGCTGTACTATGTTTTCACAACAACTATTTGTGTGATACCAAAGTTTTCTCCTGGCTTCGGGTTAAATATAATAATAAGTAAATCTAAAAACACAACTTCTGAAAAACAACAGTTTAATGAGTACATCTCTTCATGATTAGACAAGATTAAATAATACTTAAGTTTTTAAAAATCTCATAAAATATTCAGTAGTAGCACAGAGTCTGGAATTGTAGCCGGTATATTGCAATACGCCCACCCCCTATTACATGGGCCTCATAACATAAATAGTGAAAAGTGGGTATTACGTTGTACAGAGGCATTAAATGATGTAATGTGCACCTCTGCCTACCCCTTCGGAGGTAAAAAGGTGTGATATTACGTAATGTTTTTAAAAATCTTGATTAGAAAATATGATTTCTGCAGGGCAATGGCCACGTCGTATACAGCGGTTCGTTCTTCTACCAGGCTAATGAGTCTGGTAATCCTGGCGACATCATTCGATACGATCTAACTCAGAGCCGCATTAAATCTGTCAAACTGCCTAATGCTGATGGCAGACTTTACACCACACAGCATAATCAGGTAGCTACCATGATTTGTTTACTAATTAAGTCTCTGGTAAAACCAAAATATTATAACGAGATTTTTATTGAGAAGATTTGATTAGTTAAAGAAGCGCTGACTTTAACATAACTCTGACGCCCACACTGAACTTTGGCTATTATTTAGAGTCAAAAGCGCAACAGGCTGGTAGGAAGTTGGATATCCTATGGAGGGTGAGACGGTACTTCAGCCGAAGCAATTGCTGAGCCTGTACCAAGCACTGGTTCGGTCTTGTATGGAGTATCTACTGCTCTCATCTTTAGTACGGCTCGGCCAAATATCAGCTGGACGCGTTAGAGCACATCAAGAGGCGTGTCAAGCGGCTCGTTAACGATGATGCGCTTGTGGATCTACATAATCTAATACATATAAAAAAAAACCGCTAGAATGCTAACTCAAACAAAAATTACTTTTTCAATGTTTCAGGTAGACTTCAGTGCAGATGACAATGGACTTTGGGCAATATATTCAATCGAGTCGTCAAATAACACTGCTGTTGCTAAGGTAGCTATGATTTTCAACGAATTATTTAGTCATGATGCTAATACCATTTAACTACTTAAAGTGTATTTTATTTGAGTAATCATTTATTTCGGTTTACAGCTCAGCTTCGATCCCAATAAGGACGGTCTTAATATAGACTACATTTGGAACATTTCATTAAATCATAAACAAGTAAGTCGTATTGCACATTATTTTATTAAACTGTAAATGAATTTGGATTTGTCTATTAGATTCTTTTGAACTGAACTTCAAAATAAATATTGTACGGGGTGCAAGGTCGTAGTTAGATATCAAACGCATTAGTAACCGTAAAAGTGTATTTTTTATAAAGAGTTCAGAGCACTTTCTTAAATAGAAATAAATTAAAAAAAAATGATTTTAAATAATTAAAAATTTTAATGTTTATGTTATTTGTTGAATGCACCCGTTTTGTTCGCGACCGACAAATACGCTGATGTCTCGCAAGCAGGTTGCTCGGGCTTAGACTGAACTAGGGGCTTACTCTTGAATACAATTCCGATCGGTCGACATTGGTATTGTGAAATTTCGTACTCTTGATTTGCAACTCTAGCGCCCATTGCATCCGTATTGCGTGGATATTCAATAAACTAAATGGTATTGAATTTGGCTTTAGATTCCGTACTCTGAATGCTATTGTAACAGCTACGATAAGGGTTGTATAGTTTTGACATTGAATAATTATTGAGATTTTATTGGATTAAAATTGCATTGACATTGAGATTGGTTTCAAGAGTAAGCAACCTGATACCTCACCAAGCAAGATTGTCTCTAAGGACCAATCAGTAATCTTCGACAGCGTTCTAGTGTTATTTCATAATTTCTTTCGTCAACAGGTGGGTGAAATGTTCATAGTGTGTGGGGTCCTATACGCACTGGACTCTGCAACAGAGCGAGAGAGTAAGGTCTCAGTGGCAATAGACCTGTACCTCAATAAGCAGGTGGAAGTAGCCCTGCAGTTCACGAACCCATTCCGGAAGACCACGCAACTTGGTTATGATCATATGCATAAGGTGGGTTCTGTTAACCGCCGCGTAGGTCACCGGTGACCTACGTTAGCGGAGGATTTGCCTTCAGCAGTTTTCTGTCGACAGTAAAGGCTTAAAAATACTTTTTACTTCCTTGTTTTTACTGTTTCATTGCTCCATTCTTTTCTTCTAGATTCTTTTTCTTAACTTTCTTCTTTCTACTATCTTTCGGTGATCTCAAAATTCTATAGAAATGCAACACGATAAAACTCGTCAATGCTAAAAAATAAGTGGTCCGCTATTTGTTCACTGCCAAAAATAAGAGAATGTATTTGTTCGAAAGAGTGGATTCCAATTTATGATGATGGTGATCAATGATATAAATCTTTTTATTTTATCGGCATATGCCATAAAAAACGACGTAAACGAGCAAACAGATCATCTGATGGTAAGCAATCGGCGTCGCCCATGGACACCTGGAACACCAGAACACGTTACAAGTGCGTTACCGGCCTTTTGGGGATAAGAAGTTTGAGGATTGTTGTGGATACGGGGATTGGGAGATTGGGGAAAGGGGGATGGAGCTGGGCCTCCAGTAAACTCACTCATACGACGAAATACAACGCAAGCGTTGCTTCACGTCGGTTTACTGTGAGGCCGTGATAATGGTATCACTCCGGTCGAGCCGGCCCTGCCGAAGCATGGGTCTCCCGTATTTGAAACCTATCTGTTTTTGTTTTCAGGAGTTATACTCTTGGGATCGCGGGAACCAGCTGACGTATCCAGTGCGGTACAATGAACTGCCATGACATATACCGACCTAAATAATACTCATAATGACTTGATATTCATATTTTTCTACTTACAATTTTTGCAAATACATAATCTATGAATTATTTCTTTCACTATTTACCTATGTTTTGAAGTAAAACTGTACCTACAGTACAGTTCAGAGATAATAAAATTGGAGAAGAATACTTATCAGATTTTATGTAGAATGAAATAGTATTCAAAATATTTAATTCCAGCATCTATAAAGAAACAGAGATTTTCAATTACAAAATAACTTATTACTTCAGAAAAATTAGCTATGCCCTCTAACGAAGAAAAATAGCACTAATTGGGCTCTTAAGACCAACTCACTGTGCAACAAGTGGTCCTAAGCGTCACACCCGTTCACCTTATATAGCCGCTAGAGGGCGATACTAGCACAACTCTAATATTAACCACTAGAATTGACCAACAGATGGCGCTAGTACTGACATAATAAAATTTAATTATAACAGACTTTTGATTCGATCGAAGAATTTAATAGTTGATATTAAATTCGTTCTAACTTTGAAAATTGAATACTTGCATAGAATGTTATGGAAGAATCAATAGTTTCTAAGTATTTTTACAATAAACTTTCTTCAGAACTTGAAAACATGAGATCGAATCAGCAGACTGATTCCTGATGCTTAGTGATCAGTGCTGTACATAAACACTCTTAACATCTTAGCAGTTATAAGTGCGTTGGTGACGTTTGAGGAGGGGAAGGGCATTCTTCACGCATTTATGTATTCAATCATACATAGGTAGGTGTCATGTCATCACATGGAACTATTACATAATTATCTTCTTTAATTAGTCAAGTTTTTGTATGCAGATAAGAGCATAATGATTCAGTACAAAGACATTAATTTCACCTACACCAATCAAGGGTACCAAGAGATTCGGCTTCTTTAAAAAGCTCCAAATCACTTGACTGACTGTCCAAAGCATAGGTACAGAAAACTTAGTCATACTACGAAAAGCAAGGCAACAAACTAAATAGCTAATTTGTGACATGACTTATGAATAACATAGTTAAAAGTAGAAGGCGAGTTCCCTCCAATATCCCATTTGTAAAATATTCACATGGTGTAATTGCCACCATGGCCGCATTTCGGAAATACCAAGTCGTATTCATATTTCAGAAGCTTTGCAATTATGTATAGAAAGTAGTGAGTGTACTTACTAGCGCCGGTTTATATGAGTACTAGAATTTTATGTTACATTTTATGATAGTATATCTCGTATATCTAAGTAATAAGTATGTAGGTTTAGTGGTATTAGGGGGTGTAGATATACTGCTTAATATTTTATTATAGAAGTTCTTGTGCTTAGCCAAATTTTGGTCCTTTTGGTCCTGATGAACTTTATATGAAACGTATCAAAGGACCATTAGTTTATAAAGTTATAGGTACTAGTGAATTATTTTATTTTTTTGTAGATTAATATAATAAATAATAATGTTCATAGGTAAAAGGATGTTAACACACAAGAGCTGAGAGACGCGGCATTCAAACAACTAGCCTACGCATAGTGACAAGCGGCTCACATAAATCGCCTCCCTCACGAGGCGCGCACTAAGCGCGGGCAGGCATTCCACGCTCATCTCAGCCCCCCATTTTTCGCCACAATAGCTAGCAATACATTCCGTGACTTGGCAGAACCCGATGTCGAGATATTTGGCCCCCATCGTGCGATCAATACGTGCGCACAGCGCCATCTAACAGCCATCGCGCATCCAAATTGCAGTTTAATAGTTCATTAGATCCGGCAAAAATGGCGGGGACACGACATTTTAAATTCGGAACGCGATATCGATTCGCGGGAGCGCCATTATGGTATACAGGTTATAAAATTTTAAGTAAAACTTTTTAGCTGACGTTGCTGGCTGAAAGCCGGTTCGATTCCGGGTCGGAACTCGATACAGAGAGTTGGTACATTTTAATCAAGTTAAAATACCGCAGTTTCTTTATAATTGTGGTCGAAGTGAATTCCAGCTTTCTTCAATATCGGTAATCAGCTTCCTTAACGTTTTTAAATGGAATATATTAATACAAATGTGGCATTTTTATAAAAAAGTTTATTTCAAATTATGCTATTCATAAGGAATTGCGTAACAAAACATGCCCTTCTAATTTTATTGAAAAGCAGACCAAAAACTACTTATTTTCAAAGAACTGCTGCGCGAAATATTAATTTTGTATTTCCAAGAACTTTCACAGACAGCCTGCTAAAGCTACAGTCTCCATTTATAATCTGTGGTGGTTTCGCGCCACCCGCCTCCCACCTCGGCCGTCGTAATGAATGAATCATTCCGATTCAATTGATCAACGCACACAATTCGTAATACAAATAGAACAGATTACCGTTTCGATTAATTACGAACACGTTAAGATTTTAAATCGTTCGATTGTGTTAATCGTGTTAATTTGTAAATGTCTGTGCAAAAATAACTCGTCAAGACAACACTGATTGATCGATGCATTCGTTGCATTGATTTATTTATGAAAGTTCCCATTACCTTCAGCTGTAGTTTCCCGCGCAATTTAAAAGTCGAATGCTATGAATGAATTATGGTCCATTGCCACAACTTCGAAGGGGGGAGTTTATTATACTTTAATATTGGTGCATTCCATTTTATATGCAGACTTCATGGTAGTAACGTAAGCATGATTTATTTATTCGTTTTCTGAAATCAATACAGGAATAGGTTTTGTAGTAGTAATGTTGGAAAGTTATAGGCAGTTTTATGTTTTACCTTAAAGTGTGGGGGCTGTGAATACCTATAGACCACATACCGTCGATGTGTTTGAATACTGTGTAAGTACTTTTGGTAATTTTGCTGCATTATTTGGTAAAGCCGAAGCTTGGTAACATGAAACAGAGTTGATGTATTTTCCTCGTCGACTGTTTTGAAACCCTTTAAAAATATTGACAATCATAGATGAAGGTATCTTTGTTTCATCTGCACAGAGTCTGCGAAGAAAAAAAAAACCGTTTTGGGGAGAATGGGCCGTAAAAATGAAATGAAAACATTATTTATTTAATTATTGGTATAAAAGGATATTATGTCAAGTAATATAAAATATGACTACCTCCTTGATCGCGAAGTAACAAGTCGAAACATTGTGCGCATTTTTTTCGAAGCCTCTGTTCATTACAGAGAAAGTTTGACTAGATTTTTTACCGAAAACGTACTGAGAAAAGATCCCGGTATTTGGTAATACGCTTGCCCTTATTTCAATAGGAAGCAGTGAAAGTGGAAAGGTTTCGGCGAAATTGCAAGCGTCATAATCTCAATGCCGGTTGTAAGCTAGGATTGGAACAGTTTTGATAACAGATTGACATTAAACTGATGTGTAACGTAACTTAAAAAAAATAATGAAAAGTAGGTAATTACCAAGTAAATTATTATGTTTTCGGCTTACTCACGTAATAATTTGACGAGGAACTCGACTAGTTTCCTGCTGCTCATGAATATGAGCCTCTAACATGGCTTTAACTAGTCGAGTTCCGTTATTACGTGAGTAAGCCGAAAACATAATAATTTTTTTAGTATGTCTCACGAAAGTTACAATACAATTACCAAGTAGGTAAGTAATTAATGGAAACCTTCTTTCTAATTAATTTCGTATCGGGTCGTGTCGTATCGGGCTTGTTGCGTTGGTTTTCTTTTGATCACGCGTTCGTTGCCATAGGTGCAGATTTCCAGAAGAAGATGAAGAAGTCCTGTTTGTTGAAGTGGTTGGGGATGTGTGATATACTCTGACTAAGCCGAGGGATTCTCACTGAAAGAGAAACAAGTAAAGTGAACTAAAAAGTAAATCTTGAGCTTTACAATATTATAAATGTGTACGGTAGGTACAGATATGTATGTATTATTGTATGCTTTCGAATCAAAAGTGTCGGGAAATTCAGACCTGATTTTTTATTTTTTTTATAACATAAGCCGGTAAACATGCATCCGGATCACCTGATGGTAAGCAATCGGTGCCGCCCATAGATAATCGAAACATTAAGGTGTTACAAGTGAGTTACCGGCCTTTTGGGAATTGGGAATTTGAGGATTGTGGAGGATTCAGGAATCGGGAGACGGGGACTAGGGAGGGGGGCAATTGAGGTTATGGAAATGAAATCGCATTGGGGACAGCTGATATCTTTAACGGACCTTATGTCTACTTTTTGCCTCATGTCTAGGCCTCAAACCATCTATCGCTAACAATACTCCAAAAAATTCTTCAATGCACAATATGAACTTTAGCAACTTTCATAACAATACAGTTAAATCACTTTCAATGCGATCAGCTGACTGTTTACACATAAATCGACATAATAGCATTATGTATAAACAGTAGGTATGTTGTATATATAGGTCTGTAAGCGTGTCGGGATTTCCTCGCTGTCGTCCGTCCGAGACAAGATAGCAAGCGCTTTCAGCGGATGAAGCGCTTTTTATTACAGCTCTATTGTTTTTCATATGAAGACTTTAATGTGATTTGTTTTGATTATGTAGTGCGTGTTAGAATGTGTTAATGCTTGTTAGGTGTTTTTTTTTTAATTTTGGTTGTTGCATGGTTTTTTAAGTTAGCTTTTTTGAAGGTTGACAGATTTTAATTGTTTTTGGGTAAGGGGCAAGCTTTTTTAATTCAAATATTTTTATGATTGTTTACAACTGCCATTGACATTTTTTGTCAATGAACAGAGTTAAACTATACAACACCACTTAAATCGTAAAATTCTTAATGGAATTCAGCTTTTGTCACCCGACTCCCGATATTCACAAAGAGTTTACAACAGGGTCTCTCACCGCTGTTATTAAGACAATACACTCAAAAATCAAAGTTTGTTACCTTCGAGCGCGGTTGAGTAATGTTTACAAAAAAAAATGATAAACAAAAAGGTCAATGTACATGCGTTGCAAGTAAGCCGCTGCAGCGCTGCGCGACGCGCTCAATCACAGCTGAGCCAGCAGGTCGGACACCTGACGTCGGCGGCCCCGCCCCCCGCCCGCCCGCGCCCCCCTGCCATCAGCTGTTAATGTACCCCCGCGCCCCCACCGCTCCGCTCCAGCCTTTCCCCTTCGTTTGTGTAATGCGAGGAGCGTCGGCCATCAACGACACGCACTGACATTATATTTTTATGAGTATTGTTCTTATTTATTTCTTATCCAAGTTTCATAGAATCTGAATTTCCAATGGTGAAGACACAATCTGTGCTAAATTGTGTAGTATAAAAAATTATGTTTTCCTATAGCATCTTGATTAAAACCCTCACGCACATAACATTTCAGTGGCTTGGTCATTTTCAACATTTCAAACTATTTTCTATGCAATTAATAATTAATAACCGTTAGCCACAGCAATTTCGAATAGTTATGGATTCTATTTGAGGCCACAGAGAACAACAAAAATGCCAACTTTTAATAATATATCGCACATTATGCCTGCCAAATGAATAATTTATCGCAGTGTGTCGATTCTGGGCTCGCATCCCCGGGGTGCGCGGGGTGCCCCCCAGTGCGGGGCGCGGCGGCGGGAGGGGCGCGCTAGCCGTCAGTCCGCGCCGAGCGGCCGAGCGAGCGCCATGTCCGCGTGTGCGCCGCGCGCCTGCTGCCGGCCGCGCGCCCCGCCGACGCTACTCGATATCACAGCGAAAATAGTCGCCGCCGCGATCCCGTTCCAACGCATCGAGGAGCGCTATGAACGCATCCCCGAGCCGGTGCAACGCCGCGTCGTGTATTGGTCGTTCCCGCGGGATGAGCGGGACATCTGCATGTACTCGTCGCTGGCGCGAGCGCCACCCGACGACCACCGCAACATTGCCTTCTGCCGAGGGCTGAAGCTGCTGGAGGCTGGCTGTGTGGAGAACGTGCTACAAGTCGGTGAGTGTCTACGACGCGCCTGCGCCTGTTTACTAATATGCGCCTCGCCCACCCGCGCCGTATAAATAAAAACCTCGACGTGTGCGATCGATAGCTGCTCCTCTCGGGAATTATTCATGCGTTGGCTCGTAAAAGTTTCAGGAGATTAGGGCCTGCCGGGGCCGATGATGGTGACCCCACAGCTGCGGGTGATCACAGAGGTCGGCCCGTGGCGCCGCTCACTGTCCGTGTGACGCAACTAATAGGCTTATCTCACTGCGATATCGATAACCCGGTAGTTGCATTGACGTATAATCGATCCAATATTAAACACTTCACGCTTTTCCAGCGTATCTACAATGGGTACATCGTCCCGATAATGTCTCCCTGAGGCATTCCACCCGACCGATAGGAAATCAGAGCGCCCGTAATTAATTGGGACTCATTACTATGCATCGATTTCGTTCCGCATCCATAATCCATAAGTCACTTCAATAGCTCTATTTTCCCAGTCATACTATTGATATAAAATGGTGTCGCGCAATTAATCGAACTCCTAATTAAGATCCACTTTCGAAACTATGCAGATGCATCGTGAAATTCGGCTGAGATTTACATAACTGGAAGTCCCGTTACATAGGGAATTACTCAACCGGATCGGCGTGGTGTCCGCGGCATCGGTGTCGCGGCCTGCGAGCCGCGAGAGACGCGCTCCGGCTCCGATGGCATTAATCCATGCAGACGTCGTTTGTTACTGTCGCCGCTCTGAATAACGGACGCGAATAAACAATATTAATTGCCTGTTTTTATTTTTATAGGGTCAGGCCCGGTTTTATTGTGCTCGGTCGTGGGAGGACGGGCGTTACATATTCATTTGTGCTTATCTGCCATCAGAACGACGATTACTGGTCATTTCGGGCCATTTCGGGTCGCACTGCGGTCGCATACGCCACATTTGGTGGGGCCGCATCGTTCATAATGCTGTCACGTCTCAGGAGAACTTCAGACGCATTAATGTAATAAAAGATATGGAGCATAAACACGAATTCATAGTTGAATCATGTCCGCAGTACGATTTTAGGCACTGGCTTACGTCCAACTTTAGGGCGGTGGAAGAGCCGCCTCGGTGAGATAGCGTTTCCGATATGAATCGTGTACTTATGTTACAGATAAACGCGTTAGTGGTCGGTCTGCCTTTCGTGTCCGAAGTGATATAAGTTCCCACAACCGTATCATCTGAGTCACACAATCTACGATCAAGAGGAACCGCCCACTTGAAGTAAAAACAGGCTAAAATATGTTCTCAGAAATTAGTCGTAGCCAACAAAGGTTGAAGCCAAGGAAGAATTATATTGTCTGCTATGCAAATTTGTAGGTCAGACGAGGACTCGGCAAAAGAAAAAGGATCTCTGTTTGAATTCCTTTTGAAAGAAACTCGATTTCTATTAAGTCTGTGCTCGTGCAAACTGCATTGGAACTTTTAATGGAGTATGAATAACTTATGGACGCTTTTAAATTTTAATGCATGCATATCGAGTTCCATCGGTGACAGCGTACAGACAGCACGAAATGTCATGAGAAGGAAAAAATATCTGGTTGGCACCATTCGAACGACTCACCAAACGAGAATAGCCAGATTCGTGAATATGAATAAAAGAACACTGCGCCCTCAAGGTACATGCAAATGATCGAAAATGAACCCCACGTTTTAAATGTATTGGAGTCGCATGTACATATTTAATTGTCATGCAAAAATAAACGAGCGCACCCGGCACAGCTCTGTAAATATTTTAATTCAATGTTAATAACTTCATATCAATTCAGTTCGAACTGAATCTCGGAGCACGGTGAACCGGTTCCCTTGTTGATCGAGAGCGCTTCCAGCCGGCTGTAGGGGTGTGTTTGATGGAACCATCGATACCACTCTTTGTTTGAATTTCATTTCACATAAAACGAACTACGGCACGTTCCTAACACTGCAGTTCAATTATAATTGTTAATTCCAAGGAATAAGCATTTTTCCGTACTGTGTCGACAGCCATCGTAGATTATTCAATAGAATCGATTTTCATTGGCTAGCTTAATGGTCGCATTAAATTTTTAAGTACGGCGTTCTTATTAAATATTATATTGCTTTCCTGTTGAATCATTGACTAGACAAGACAGGTACTAACTGCATTTACGAGGCAACGATGGAAAAATGTATTAACTAGTAAAATATTGGAATATAATATGCAAAATGTCATTTGCTGTCGCACTCATAAAGATTCATCTCTGAGAGCATACATTTATTTACCAAAATGCCAGTCGCATGCATCACAAACAAAATATATGAAAAACTGCAAACAAATATTTTTACAGTCAGTAAGCAATCACTCTTATGCGTTCACTGACAAACATGAAGCGTGTGTCATGCCAAAAAAGTTACACGTTCCATATTCAGGACAAAATGCAGATGAGGATGTAATTAAAGCGATTTCAATCCACATACAGAATAACTAAATACTAAGTGGAGATGACGCGATAACTTCCGACCACATGTCGGTCTCACGGTGTTTCGTCACCAATTTAAGAGTTCATGGCAAGACTGCAGTTCTTAGAAGGTCTAAGTAACGCCGCCATCGTTCATAAGATGATCGTCTGATATCCATTCTTGAGCATAACAAGTTTTAAGCTTAACGTCTGCGGTTTTTGTCGGGTCCTTTTAGTCATTTGGAGCCCCAGTTCTTGTAATGCGACCAGTTTTATGTATAACCTTTCTGTAAGTCTCTTACAATGTATTTGCAGGTTTTTGTTCGTTGAAAGTCGAACCTTTTAAACACGATCGTATTAAGAAAGTTGCATACCGTTACAGGAGTCGTGAACTGGTTCAGAATTTGCCAGCAAACATTGATTCTGATCATTAAATTGTAAGAGCAAACGGAAACAGGAAAATCCAGTGACAGTCACATTGTATTAATAATAGTAATTTGTTGCATGTTATCGCTATTTTCGTTCTATGTTTGTTGGAATTAAATTCCCGCTGAAAATTATTACCTAACTAAATAACATACACGCTAAAAGTGTTTGTGAATGTAAAAAATCGCGTTGTATTTGGTAAATTATTTCCAATATGAACATTAAACAAATTAACGTTAAAAATTTTCTAATACTTGTATCCAAAATTAAAGTGGATGTGAACAACACCAATGTCAAAATGGAAGTACTAAACTCCGATTTTTTCAATGCCAGATAAATTTCAACTGAAGAATAACTTTTGAATATTTGACAATTCTTCCATACTTTTAAAAACTTGTAAATGTCAATTGAATCAAGTAAGTAGTTAAGAATTAACTAATGATTGAAAAATTTGCCCTAAATGTGGAAAATCGGCCAAGCACCTTCTCTTAAAGCAATTCATCAGAAAGGCAGATCATTATCTTCTAACCCCTTATCGAAAAACTCATCACAAGAAGACCGATCAATTTTATCAAACAAATAGCAAAAATTTCAGTTAACTTTGAGCAATATTTGTACATACTCCACACACTGTTTGCACTCAACAATGGTTTTTACAAAACCATCAAAATGGAATATGTCATAGTAATTACTTCTTATCGTTGTTTAAATAACCATAATCGTGATGTGTGTAATTGTAAAACAATCTGTGTGCTATTATGTCTGGCAACAATCTCGTGGTTTCCTCCGTTCTCGTAATTGCTTCGGAATGAGAATATATTTTTGGTGACACACTGTTGCATAATTGTGTTGACTGCAAGCATTAGCTAGCTTCCCTTTTATAAATAGTTGAAAGAGTTAAAATTCTTCAAATATGTTTGCTCTTGATGAATGATGAATGTTTTCAAACATCTTTCTGAAATAAGGATAAAGAATCCTATATTATATTCTCTCTGTTCAGTGTTCCACGTAAAAGCCGAGCTGTGTTACTCCAAGAGACAACAGCTCTATTGATATTTGGCTAGCTTCAGTTCCCCTTCACATTATTTGCAATACAACAATGAGTCACTCAGCTAAACCATATCCGTTAATATTTCAACAAGTAAACCATCTATTCACGAGCACACCATCACATCCGTAAAAAACTACTAACCATATGTCAATACAATCGCGATTCATAGCAACAAAGAAATTACTGAGCAAACTGACAAACAGACAAACTGAATGCTCCTCTGTCCAATAACAGTGTTTCATAGTATCCACACAAGAACAGTTCTGTCGCGCGACCTCGCACCAAAAACTAAAATAACCAGCCCTTTCATATGCATCACCCCACCCCCGCCAACACCTATTTCAATAAGTAATGGGAAAGACGAGGTAGATCTCGAAATACTGGTCGCGCTCACAAAGACCTACTTGTGAGTACCAAAAGCACCTCCGCATTTTAGAATCCAATTGCAAGTTTACGCATGCAATTCGGCAGGACCTTAGTGTTCAGGGAATAGAGGATGTTTTGCAATGAATAGAGGCATTGTTGGTGTCCGCGCACAGTGAATCTTTGAAGGCAAACAGGCTTGTGAAGAGTATTGAATGCTTGATTTGATGGTGTAAAGATAAACTTACGAGTACCTGAGAAATTTGGTAGTGAACTGTTGGGAATTTGCGTTGAATACGGTACGGTATAAAGATTCCTTTAAGCTTGTACAACAATGTGTTTGTAAATAAGATATGGTGTTATTGGTTATCAGTTTATTTGCTAGGTTATTACCATTTCTGTAATGGCTTTGTGTTATAGGAACGTTCACGCCAATACTGGTTTGGTACTGGTTGAGATTGTTCTATCGATATCCGCATATGTAGATATAATCAATTAGATGTTAACGAGTAATGGATGTATGACGCTATTGGTAATGATGGGGTACTCAAAGACCATTTACGAGTTAACTACAATGGTTCGGTTCATGTTGATTCGCTGTACATTGTAAATACCAATCCATTTGATATAGTGCTTATTGATTTTGCAACTCAAGGATGTGAACATTTTCAACTGAATTATTTCTGTAAATAATTTCAATGTGATGTAC